GGATAAAACAAGCATATTAGCTGGTGAGCATCATTCAACTTCCTCACAGCCCACTTGCAAGCTAAAGGCCCAAGAAGGCTGTTTGTCCTGCCATGGGTTTCTTAGTTTCCTCTTCCAATGTAATATCTTTAGTTTACATGGTAATATATATAGCAGCATTGAATCAATGTCTACAGGACTGTTTTTAAGATAGCTGCAAAAATATTTCAGCATTATATGCAATCACTGAGCAGATGAGAGAATGGTAATGCACAGAAGCTAAACGGCTTTTCCAAGCCAATAAAAGCCTAAGCTAAAAATAGCATGCCTGTCTCCTTGTTCCAAGGTTACTTTTCATTTTGCATCTAGCACATTTCCTCTGTTTGAGGAAAGCTATCATTAGAAGTTTTGTGGACTGCCAAACCACAGTGCTGGGCTGAAATCATAAACTACCTCTCTCGATCCACAGGCACAACATTCGGTTGGATGTCTGGGATGGATGGAAGGAATTTCTGATGGGTTGTCTCCTTGGACAAAAACTTAAAGTCCAACGCTATTTATCAAAAGAAGGACCAGTACTCAAGTATGGGAGATTAATATTAAATTAATTTAGCAAATGCTGTAACGTTTTACTGAACTTCCATCAGACATTAAGCCTACAACTCACTCTGCAGCTGGGTTGCTGCTTGATGCCAGTTCCACTTAGCGTGTCCCAACCAGACATTGTTACTGAGATATTCACTGGAACAAAACAGTAAGGATGCTACCAGGGCTGACAGTCTTTGGTGACTGGTTGCAATTCAGGTAGACTTTCCTTAGGAAATATCGACTACAGTTGACCCTTGAATAATACAGGAGTTAGAGGCTAACTCCTCATGCAGTCAAAAGTCTTCATATAAATTTTGACTCCCCAAAAACTTTAATAATAGCCTACTGTTGACTGGAATCCTTACTGATAACATAAACAGTCAATTAACATATTTTGTTTCTTACAAATACGTTTACAAATAAAGTAAGCAAGAGAAAATAAAATGTTATAAAGAAAATCATAAGGAAGAGAAAATATATTTACTATTCTTTAAGTGGAAGCAGATCATCATAAAGGTCTTCATCCTTGTCATCTTCATGTTGACTAGGCAGAGAAGGAGAAGGAGAAGGAGTTGGTCCTGCTGTCTCAGGGGTGGCAGAGGCGGAAGAAAATCCATGCATAAGTGGACACGCGCAGTTCAAACTTGTATTGTTCAAAGGCCAACTGAAATTAAATAGGTAACTTCAATTTGGTTTGGATATCAGACTTTTAGCAACACTTTTTTTTTCCAAGACAGGGTTTTGCTCTGTTGCCCAGGCTGGAGTGCAGTGGCATGATCATAGCTCACTGCCACCTCAAACTCCTGGGCTCAAGTGATCCTCTTGCCTCAGCCTCCTGAGTAGCTGGGACTGACTATAAGTGTGTACCACCATGCCTGGCTAATTTTTGTATTTTTTGTAGAGGTGGGATCTCACTGTGTTGTTCAGGCCAGTTTCAAACTCAAGCGATCCTCCCACCTTGACGTCCCAAAGTGCTGGGATTATAGGCATGAAACACCACACCTGGCCTTTAGCAACACTTTTTTTTTTTTTTTT